CGGGGTAGCGATTGGAAATAAGTAGAGGGGTGGGTTTTGTTGCAAACATATAGTTTCAAGACAATATATATAAATAATATACATAAAATATTTACGCATAATACATGTATACAATTATGTTATATTGTTATGTATTATATATATATATCGTCTTTGTGTAAAAAAAGATTGAGCTTTTATCTTTTGTAAATAGTTTATATTATTATGTAAATAAACGTATAGTGTGTAAACTTCATGTTCGAATCAAAAACGAAAATAATTGATTTATTACAATCGTTACAATTAAGTTAATTGTACGAAATGCATGATGTAATATAAAATTTAACGTACTAATTTAAACATCTATTATTACAATTTATTACTTTTATAACGTTTATAATTATCAAATATTGTAATTGTTACAATTATTATTTGTTCAATTTTCCTCCCCGGGAGCCCAGAAACCGAAGTGAAGTATACATTTCCAAATCATTTTTGGGTAGAATAAGTATAGCGAATTTTCTTCTTTATACATATTTTTAGTCTTACGTAATTGTTAATAATGAATATCACATGTTATTAAAAAAATAATAATAATAATAAATCATAAAAAGTTATAAACAAAATCACTTAACAGTGTAAATTATACTCAAAAGCAATCGTATATAGAGCAAACAAGAGCGATTTATAATGAACCACAATGCTACAAACGTGTGTATAGGTTATCTAACTATAAATATAAATATTTTAACTTATTATTATTAGCTATATTTTTACTTGGAATTTGTTTCTTTTTAATAGCGATATACATTTTTTTATATCCATTTAAAAATGTTCGTCTCTACGACCGTAGATGAATTTATAATTTAATAATTTTATAATTTAGTTAGGTATGAAAATATGTACACAGAATTATTCAAATTTACCATTAACAATATAAGTACATTTTATTATTAATATTAACTTTTGTTTCCTATAAAACACATTAATTATATTTACAAATTTAAGAACAAGCGGTTTTTCTGTAATAGAGTGGTGGGAACTTTAACGTAATGCGTATTACTCGTCATTTATTTTTCGAGCAATTTCGAAAAATAATTATTTTTCTTGGTTCACTTTTTCTTGTTTTTTTTTTCGTTGAACGAACGGAGATTCGGATCGAAAGTAAGCAAGTTTTGAATACGGCATCGAAGGTGAATAGTGGTGACGGAAATTATGCGTACAACCGTGATACGTCGTGTGCGGTTGTAAAATGAAAACTATATCCACTCTGTAACCTTTTACGAAAAAAGTTATTAATTTCGACACCGAAATCTCAGAGAATTAGTACCGTCCACCACTCTATGAATAGTGTGTTTTTTATTTTTTTGTTTTCTTTTGTCGTTTATATTACATATATATGGCGTTATTTTTAACATGGCCACAAATTCATCGTAGTAAAACCACGGGATTCGTTTGTTTCACTAATATACAATATTCATAATGTGCTAGTCGGGAAATATATGTATATATAACAAACGAATAATCTTTAAACTATCATTAATATTTATCTAAAAAGTGAGATTTTTTCATCGAAATATTTAACGAATTACATACTAAGCAAAATATTCTAAGAATCAAAAAAAAAAAAAATAATGTATAATATATTTAATCATATATGTGTGTATATTCGTGTTTCATATTTTAATAGTAACGATCTAGTCTCAGGACGTGTGCGTATCGTTTTTGTCCTGTAAGAAACGCATGTTCTCCGGTGGCCACCTCCCCTTCCTTTTTTGACAAAATGAAAATCACGATGTGGCAACGATAACGGTCATTTAATTACAACGAGTACAACGTTTTGTTTTAACGAAAGAATCGACTTTTCAAAGACATCATGGTGATGTAATAGTCGAGGGGGATTGCTCCCGATTCAATTGTAAACTGAATTAGGTCCCACTTAGTATTATATTCATGTATATATATATAGTATAATAATATTTATTAGAGAATCAAAATTTAGTACGAACAAAATAAAATATATTTAATGCACTATGATATCATCGCTTAGTATTGTGATCGCTTTATCGGAACGGAAACGTATCAAGTAACATTTCGAACGATGGAAAGAAAATCCGGAACCAGCAGTTTTATCAATTGTTGTTATTGTTATTGATTGCGCCCCGTGCAGGTTCGAATGGTTGAGAGGTGGTTTTCTTCCGAAAGTATTCATCGGTAAAATTTAGGCACGCACGTATGATATTCGAAAACTTTATACAAAGCTTGTGCGTCGCAAACATTGTTTAGTTTTCGGTTGTTTTCGAAAAAAACGTTTGCCGGAAAAATGACGGTGGATCGTGGTGCATTCGATCGTTTTATCAGGAATGGATTTTATTGAATTCCTCTAAGGATCGCGGAACGTGAACAGGGATCGGTCGTTTCAAAATCGACACGATGTGACGTTGTCGTCGATCGGTGCGTTTCGATGTCGTTGTCATTGTACAAAAACCGTTAGATAGAGAGAGTGAGTGTGATTGAGAGAGTTGGGAGAGAAACCCCTCGTAATTATTCGTAAAATATCGCTTAACGCGCGGCTTCCATCGCTGGTTGGGGATAATAATGTAATGCTCGGTCGCAACATTTTTCTTATTTTTTCTCTTACATCGGCGTTACGAATCACTATGATAACGGATACCCGGTTGTGCACCACGTTCATAGGATATAAATATGGAATTGCGATGATAGGATGCACGCGACAAAAGAGATACGGTTAACAATACGATTTCCCGTACCGCGAGAACACGATTATACACACATATACATAAGTGTGAGAACATACGTGTACATGGAAAAATTGGTCTCGAGATGTGTACCGGAAAACCGAACACGATACAATCCCATAATGTCATGATCTGTACTGTGTAGGTATATACATATAAATATATTATACATCGATTAATACGAACTAAGTATTAAGCTATTTATTTTATGACTATTATATTGGTGTTACGCTTAAAAAAAAAAAAAAAAAACGGACATTTTATAGCTATTAGAATATTATTATTTTAATCGTACATGATACACAAATACATTTCGTGTTGAATAATATAATATAAATAAACTTTACGTTCGTTCAAAAGGATATTTGGGAATATTGGGCACGGGATGTCCGAAACAAATACATTTAACCGTTTGATACATCGAAATAAAAATAAAGTAAATATGATAATATTAAAAATTAAACTATTGACGAGTTATTATAATATTATTAATTTAAAGATAAGTTTTAAAACCGTAATAACAATAGTATTTTAACAACAATTATAATTAATTAAATATTTTGATAACAAATGAAAAAGAAAACAAAAACGAAAAATTAATGACAAAAAATAATTTTAAAAATACGTAACAAACATGTTATAATAATAATGACAATAATAATAATAATAATAATAATAATAATAATAATAATGATAATTATAATATAGTTTATTGATTTATATCATAAAAATTGTTCGTTAAAAAAGAATTATAATAATATGATGATAATAATAAAACAAATATCGATTATCACCAAAAATAAATATCAAATAGTAAAACAAAAAAAAAAAAAAAAAAAAAAATTAAATAAAATAACGAAAAAGTCAAATTGTAAATCGTTCACTTCGGGGTCGTAGTGGTGGTGGTGATGGTGGTGGTGATGGTGGTGGTGGTAATGTTATATAATATATAATATAGTTGTTTGGTGAGTTAAAATAATATTGTGGCCCATTATAATTATTAAAATTTTACATAAGTCATCGTGGATCGTCCCGTATATTTTATTTTAGTACTATTATTATTTTTTTAGTATATTATTTAAAGTGTGATAATAGTAATAATAGCAACTAAAAAAATATACTCGTCGTCGTTTCGATGTACAATGTATTATAATATACACATTAATCATAACCTTGACAAAGTATTTTAATAATCTATCGTTTATTATACATTTAAATACGTTCTCGACCGATGAACTTTTTTACCCACCCGTTTATCGTTTTGCTTTAAATTTTTTACTCGTAACACGTGTGTTTAGCTTAGGACTAGAAAATTAAAAATACAGAGTAAACCAGTCGCCGTATCACGCGCACGCGCGTATTTTGAACATTGGTACGTTACAATAACAACAATAACAAAAATGATTATAATTAATAAAATAACTTTAATACTATTAAGACTCTGTTTTTGGGCGGTGTCATTCGATTTCATCTGAATGGTTATAAAATGGCAAACGCTGTTTCAGTTTTATTATATAGTCTGCATGCGAAGAGGTGTGGGTGTACCACGTCGTGAAAGACGTGTCCGGTGCATATTGTAAAAAATGGTGGTTGGAAAAAATAAAAAATTTAAATATAATTTGAACGGACACACGGACCCGTACGACGAGATTCGTTTATTTTTATTCATCATAGACATTACGGCTCGTTGACGATATCGCAATAATATTATATTATACCTACATCTATGTATATATTATTATAATATTGTAATCAATATCTTAACGGTGCTGAAATGATGGTCGTTGTTCAGGTTCGACAAATGAAACGGCAATTATTTATTTTAATAATTTGTTATTGCTATTATTGTTATTGTACCGTCGTGATTGATTATGAGATCTTAAAGGTCTTGGTTTAGTTTTGTTTTTCTTTTCTAAAACTATACGGCTGCGCCTTTATATTATAATGAGCAACACGTGACGTTTTATTTCGCGTTTAATTTGCTGGTTTGATTCATCGTTCAGAGATTATAATTAGTTTAGGTAGTTATTATTATTATTATTATTTATAGTATAAGTATTAAGTAAATATTATTAAATTTACATATTTCGGGTAGTTTCAATTATATAATAATAAAAACCCTAAAAAACAAACGAATATAATAATAATTATATAATATTTTTTTTCTTTAATGTAATCTTAAATATTAATTTTTTTTTATTTGTTATCATAATATAAACATTATTAATATAATAAAACATGTTTTTTTTTAATTTTAATTATTATAATTATAATATAATATAGAAACGATTATTATTAATAGCATTATTGAGAAAGAAAACCTTTGGTGTAAGTGAGAGTGAGTGAGACATTTATATCTCTGGTGATAGTTGTGAGTTATTGAGTCAAATCACACGCGTAGGGGTGACTAATATCGGTCAACCTGTAAAAGATAGAAAACCCAAATTAATTCAAAAATATTATCACCTTTAAGATGTGTATGTGAAAAAAATGTCATCGGTATTTTAATTTTATAAATGAACAACAATGACCTTACGATGGAAGAAATTTATTGACTCTTGCGTTGTTCAATGGTACCCATTGGTAAAAGCGGCCGGAATCAAAGCTCCCTGAAAAACAAAATTTTCAATTACTATACGGACGCATGGTTTTCCAAAACAAATGTATTATTTTTTTTAAACTTGATGTGTGTGTGTGTGTGTGTGTGTGTGTATGTGTGTGTGTGTGTGTGTGTGTGTGTGTGTGTGTAAGTGTATGATGTATCATGCTGTCATTTATAAAAACGAAAAATCAACAAAAATATAAAAATGCAAAGGACCACACGTTACAAGGATATCTAAAGGAAAAGTGTTTTTTAAATAATCCATTTAGTGGGTAGCATGATAATTATAATATACGAGTAGATCGATTTACGGCCGACGAATTTCATGCAACTGGCGAAATCCCTAAGTTTGTTGCAACGCGATTACGACTAATTTTGATCGTAATAACAGTACAGTATTGTGCATTAATAAAAAATTATAGCAAAGATTACACTTTCGATTCGATTTGGTTTTCTCTTTAATCACGCGGTACTTGCTATCGTATTATAATATCAAGTGGCAAACGAATTTATGGTTTTCAAACTTTCAGGACACTTTCCGCTTACACCTATACGCACACTGCGGTTTCAGGTAAACAGAAAGGGAAACTGAAGCGTTTACCCGAGTCGAATTCTACCGCTACGACGACGACTACTGCTACACGTTTCCGTCGGGAAAACTTACGAAAACAAATTTCAAAGTCGTTCCGGGGGGGAGGGGAGAGGTTCGTTTTCACGGTACTACTATGGGTTGGTTATGGGACTATGGGATTCGTATATTTTGCAGAAACTTTAATACATCGTGTTACACATTATTGATAGCAATATTAATCCTCAAGTCCGATCAATTGTATGAGAACAGAGGATAAAAATAAAATTTCAAAATTCTTCACTATCGAAAGCGATGAAGTGCGAGCGGGCACCGCAAGTTCTATATATAAGTTATATCCGCGTGATCTATACGCCTACGATGACAATGATAATACGATTTTTTCCTACCGATTGTACGACGATACTAACTGGACCACGAAACCTGAAATATTTTGCATTTTACTTCGATTCTTGAACAGCTGTAGCAACGAAACAAAGTATTAGAGTAAAATTATGAAACACTTATAGCAAAGAAACGACTGTGTCTTTTTTAAGTTTTTTTGAAAATTATTTAAGCGAATAATAAGTCATCAAACAAAGTTTACACAAATCTTCTTTTGCCATAGTTACTCTTTGAAAATATAATCAAAAGATTTTTTGTCCAATTAAAAATAAAACATTTTATTCAAAAGTTTAGATAAAATATACAACTTATAAGATTAATATAAATTATAAATTAAATATAACTTAGTTTCTTAAAAATATTTTATGACGGAAAAATTTATTTAAAAAAAAAAACAAACTGTAAAATTATTCATATCTATTTTTTCGTTTTGATTCAATAAACGAATAATATTAAGGTAGGTATACATAACGATGTTATTTCAAGAAAGCGGGAAGAATATTTGTTTTTATCTAATCTGAGTTTTATTTTATAGTGACAGTTGACAAATAAAAAATATTTATGAAAACAAATTTCGAAGGTTGTTCAACAAATTGTTTAAAATATGAAAAAAATCACTAGTTTGGATGATTTTATACACATATTATGATTATTCGTTATATTTAGTTTTTCAATTATCAAGTGTGTCATCGTCGTTTTGTAATTTAAGCGGAATGAATAATGTGATTTTATTATGCATATGTCGGCCAAATATTATAGTTTTTCTAAATAAATAATATGAACTCCGTGAAATTGTTTTCACGTAGTAGGAATTTTACAATGATATCTTTATATTTTCTAAAAAATGGTTATTTGTAAAACACGAAGATATTAATAATATTATTGTGCATACAAATGCGGATTCAAGCTAATTGTTAACATTGTTGGTAAAAAAATTCACGTAATTATTACTATTATTATTATAGTTATTATTATTATTATTATTATTACTATTGTAGTCGTCGTACACGATGGATAATGGAAAAATGTTCAAAAATAATATTTAACATTGTGTGAAAATTCTTCGGGCGAAGGGAAAAAATAATAATAACTTCTTATTTTATCGATTTTCTCTGCGGATACACGACGAATCTAGCATGAAAAATCGTTGCACCACAACAATCCTTCAACAATGCCACCGATGGAAATATATATTATAATGTAAAAGACGTTGCCGCCACTTCAAAGCTCCGTGGAAATACGGACACAACGTAAGCGGATAAACAAATGGTGACTGCAATGACACCAGGTAGTAGGTGTGCGAGGAGGTGTACAGGTATAGCAGGCAGGCGTGATGTACCTACATGTAGCTGATGTTCACGCGGTAAAATATTAGTTAATTTTGTGGCAGACGCGAATCGAAACGGGCCGCAAAGTTTGCAGGTACTACTTATACGTGTATATACTAACTAAGCGTCTCCTATAATGTACATATATATATACTTTTAATAATAATAATTTGGAATCCCTGTGGGTAGGGGACGGTGGTGGAGCCGAAGAGACGAATCCTCGGTTCTGCACCGTGGTGATTAATTATCGCATTGATAACGATGAAAGGGTGCGGACGGGGGGGGGGAAGGAAGATGATGATGGAAGTTGAATAATGTATCGCACAAATTCCGACGCGAGTAAATATATCAAATACACCCACGCACTGGAGTTATGTATGTGTGTTTTGCGGGCGAAAAACGTTCGTACCTATATACACGGGGTATTTATCCCAACGGACCGTTCGATCTTTCACGCGACTCGAGGGGTTGAGAGGCGACCGCGGGTAGTTTCTAACAATATTCAGCGTAGACGTTCCGTCCCCCACACGTATACTTGTAAACATAACAATGTATTTTATACGACAAACGGATTGGCAATGTCTGTACCGCTAACGATGGTACGTACAAGTCGACGACCCGATGGGCAAACGGTATAGCGAAGGGTGAAACGGTCATCGATTGTTATCGCATTATGAACTAAAAAAAAAAAAAAATGAATTAGGAAAGTAAGACGTACAGTTTGGCAGCTGCGAGAACACGATGCATAAAAAAAGACTCATTACAGACTTTGCACAGTTCATCCTTGGGGCGGCTACTGGGTCTTGTACTGGGATAACAATAGGAACTAAGAGAGTGTGACCGAGCCGCGGAATCGACCGATTCCGATGAGCTGAAGATTTCTACCGAAACCATGTCATTTATAATCGACGTTTCAGTGGCGTGCGACGATAACGATGACTATGGTTTGGAAACGATCCGCTCAACAGTAAGACCAATAAGACCCTAACGATGTACAAGAATAACAATAATATGTACAAGTGCGTGTGAGTGGTGATGCATTCGGTGTGATGTGTCTATCTACATCGAAAGAAAAAGTGTATCTAATGAATTTTAGGGGAGGTGTCGCAGTATGCGGGTTCTTACGGATGGTGTGTTGATATGATAAAAAAAAAAATTCAAATCAAAAATACACAATAATATACACAATAAACATGTACGTGTAAACGAACAAAAAAAAAAAATGTCAAAATGTTTGTTACAAACCCTTACGCAAATCGGACTATATACCTACAGCATTGTAATTAAGTGGCGCACCACGTGAGACGGCGATCGCGGGGAACGCGGACGGTTGCGGTGACGCTGCTTGCACGTAATCGGCCGGGTTCGAGCTGTACATGTCCATGGTGGACGGGGCACCGGGGCCGGGCGACGTGGCCGGCGGGAACGCGGTGGCTCGCGGGTTGCCGGGGCCGCCGGAGTGCGGCGACGCTGGTGGCCCGAAACCTTGTGCGGCGACCGCGGCTGCCTGATGGTGGTAATTGCTCATCACTTGAAAAATACACACGCACATTCAGAACATGTAATCATTACATAACACGATAATAATGTGAAACATAATTATAATAATGATAAAAATAAAAATATAAATTTATCGTTTCACGCGTACAAAACCACAACAGCAACGACAATAATAACAATAATAATATGTATAGAACACAACGTACCCAAATAACAATTTATTGCATTTGATATCGTGTTGTATAGTGCGTTGACATCAGTCGATACGATAAGAGGGACCGAGTAAGAACGAAATTTGTGACCACCCTCTTACGCTAACGATCATTTTTTTTTTTTTTGAGGTATTTTTATTACCAGTAAAATACCGCCACCCCCAAATTTAGTTATTCCCGTTCCAATACCACCGATTATAACACATCGATAACATCATAATATATAAGTGTAATGTGCGTTTCAACGTGCGCACGAGACTCGTATGTTAGGACCCAATGGCGCACACAGGATTTTTTTTTGGGGGGGGGGGGGTCAAGGTAAAAATATAATACATTTTACAATTAACAAAATTATGCAAATCCTTAGTATATTTTGCCTTAAATAATAGCATTGATAATAGAATAGACTATTCTATAATCAATAATACTAGGTATTCAATACTAGCTCTTCATATTTCAAACTTGTAAAATTTGTAAATTTTAGCCTAGACATCTGAGAAAATTTCGGGGGGGGAGTACGACCTCTTAAACCCCCTTTCTTCCCTGCGTACGCCACTATTAGGACCACCTATGTACTTGCTTATGGGGGTAGTCATAATATTAATGGATTTAGTAAACGTACGAGGCGACGGAAAGTGCGAACGATGAGCACGGATATCGTACCGACTATTTTCCTCGTAGATTTTGGGTTTTATAAAATAAAAATATGTTGTGAAATTTTCAACGATATTTCTGCTGATATCGATTTGTATATGGGACACGTATGTTTAAACGAAAGTATCTTTTGCGTTTATTCCATCCGTTTTTACTGGAAATATTTTATCGTTGTTGATGAAAAATCGTGTCAGAACGTTTCTGAGAACAATTTATTTCCACTCGCTAAATCTATAATAACCAATCGATGGCTTATCGTTTTTATGTTAATAGTTAAAACTATTTACTTGATTCAGATATTTACACAAGAGAAATTTCCCGATAAATTGTGTAAGATTATCGTACGGTTTCACAACAAGAAAAGAGCTTATAACACGAGTATAGCTCCTCACCCATACTTAAGCTGGCAAAAATTTTATGACTTTATGAATAATTTTGATATATTATTAATTTTAACCCATTATATACATAGGTACATGCGCACGTAGGTGAGTAAATAATGTTGATATTATTTTAAAATATGTATGTTATTTTGGTTTTACAAAACAAAATGTATGTTATTAGTATAACCATTATTATTATTATTTATGTTGTCGATGTTTATAAGCTAACCTCGAAATATTTATTGCTGTAAAAAATTTTAAGTAAAATTAATGAATATATTATTAGTAGTGAAATTCATATCGACAAGTACGTGTGTGTAGATATATATATATATATATATATTATTATTATTATTATTATTGTATTAAATGGAACGTATGTACATTTCACGTATGATGCACATTCGGACAAACGAGACTAACGCACGTGTTAGTTAAGTGAAAATAGCAAACTGTACTGCTAAGCAAAGCAATAATAAATTGTATTAGCGCGATAAAAAAAAAGAAAGGACATATCAGGTTACATGTATATTTTTATTTCAAACATTTCCTTTACACGGCATATTATTAATATCCTTTACCACTTATAAAAATATAGTAAAGAAAATAATACTACGTTTAAGTGATTTTATCAATAAGATTTATTTTTTCGTTGATACAATAAAGATTAATTGTTCTTGAAACGTTACGTTAAAAATAATTTTAAAAAATGTAATATTATATAGTACAGCGAATACATATATCATGTAGTCGTACATTTATATTTGTAAATAATCGTTTTGCTTTCAAAAAAGTATAATAAACGAATGCAGCGGCGAATAATGACGTAAATATATTAATTTAATATATACGTATTGTTTAAATGCCTATATTTTTGTGTTGTTTTATAATATTACCATTGGATATATTATTGTATAGTATGAGCCGTATCATTATCGTTTGAGATAAAATAAAATATTATTTTGTAACTTATAGGCGCATTACTAAGTTATTACACATAATCATTATTATTTACTATTATTACGATACATTATTATAGACACGGATGTTTAACATTGAACTTATAGTTTAAATCATTTTCAACGTGATTGGAAAATTTACAACGCCACACGCAAGATGGTCGTGTTGCTTCTTAAGTATTCGAGTGTAAAGTATGGGCAAGATGAACGATGACGATGTGGCGTATATTATTATTTGCGAATTGATCGACTAAATAATAATATTAATACAACGTCAAAACTCCAGTGAAAAATATGGTGGCTTTTTTTAATGCAATTATTTGATCAGGATCGGGGGTCGAAGATAAACGTTTATGCGAAAATAAAAATAATAATTCGTTAGCAGTACATCGATACGTCGCGTCAATGGTTGTTCAAATATAACAGAAACGTATATAGTGTATATCTTATATATGTTAGCCGTGCCGTGTTTATTGTTGGGTGTTATAACATTGACCAGTTGGCAGATCAGCTGCAACAACGGTGCGAAACATAATATTAGAATAATAACAAAACGTGAATTGGCCGCAAACAGAAAAAAAAACAATTGTCTTTTTTGTTTCCGTCAATACGAGCTAAAAAATACATATGTAGTATACGCGCATATTTATATATGTACATAACGAATACAATTGATAACGATATTATAATATGTTTAGGTATGTAGGAAATGTTCATTCGTTTTGATAATATTTATAAATTGTATTATGTATACGTATAGAACATTACGATATACGTCTAAAACAGTAAAACATTCCATTGCAAAAACATAAAAAAAAAAAAAATAAAAATACAAACAAACCAAAAAAAATAAATAAATAATAATAATAATAATAATAATAATAATATAAAAAAAACGGTTGTAATTATAACAACAATATGATGTAGATTGCAAACGTAAACTGTATAGAACAATACAATAATAGTTTACATGACCACAAAATCAAAGTACTTATATAAAAAGAATAACGCAACAACTATTTATTATAATATAATACATGTGTAATGATAAAGATTTTAATCACTCTATTACAATACATAAAGGTAATGTCATCAGCGGGGAAAATGAGATTTAAATGTTGGTGAAAAAAAATCGTCAAAATGTGTGCGTGTGCGGGTACGTGCATGAACGTGTGTCGTTCCAATGTGCGGCTATTCACGTATCAAACTCATATATGTATACAAATTACATGCGTATACAATGTACATAAACGCGCATGAAACCGTACACGCGGCTCGTGATTTTTGTGCAAATCTGGGTGGTGAAAGACCGGGAAATGGCAGCGAGGGTGCCGGAGATTTGTATTCCAGCCGAGTAACAAATCCATCGTGCACGTATTTATGTTTATTACACGTCGTACGGTCGGGCCCTTGGCGGCTGCGGGTATAGAGGCTTAAGGGACGGAAGAATTTACGGACGTTACGATACTCGTACGTATAAAAAGTACATGCGCGTACACGCGTCGCTCACAGAGGGTTCAGAGGTATCGAGTTAAACGATACTACACGAATCGTACACGCGGTGTTAAAAAAAAAATGGGGGAGAAATATGTCATAGAAGTTGTAGGGGTAGGGACGAACTACCTTTGTAGAAAAATATTTATTTTATTAACCGGGAAAATGCCTATAGTTGTAGAAAACACACACACACAGAACATGCCGTGTGACGATAAAAACGAAAAAATTCGCGACCGACAACCGACCGACTTTTGTACTTGTTACACATACAAGGTACATATACGGTACATATTTAAATACAAAAATTGTACTGTTATGTACACTCTGACGATTTCGTAGCGGTTATAAATTATATATTAATGTGTGAACTCGCTAAACGCGTGCAACCGAAACGGTGTTATAGAAAAAAACTCCGTTTTTGGCGCGGAATCAATGATTAAAACGATACATCGGCGATAGGGGTTGGTGGTCGGCAGTTTTCGCATTAAATACATCGTGCATATATATATATATATATATATATGTGCTTGTGTACGTGCACGTTTATTATTTTACGAATATTATTCGCACCTAACGCGACGATTGTTCGGTGAGATACGAGCGCGTCGGAAACTATTAATCCTGTTTTACACGCAATGTACTGTACGATGGCCGTCAAACCACGCGCACGGCGAGTATTATAGAAGAGACACGGCAGGTTCAATAGAGTGCATGCACATGCGGTACACGTATTCATATTTCAGCGGATATTTTAACGATGAAGGTGACGACGGGTTTTCCAGGATGATCCGAACAAATTACTCGCGCGCGGCAGCTGTACAGTGTACAATGTCTGTACGTTCACGTTTTCGCGATGACGTATTATCCTGGGAGCCGGAAACACTTTGTTTTACAATAATATAGGCCGTGGCGCGACTTCCGGCGCGGAACGCGGTAACAACACGTGCCCCCCGCCACCGCGGTTCGTCATTCGCACGGTCAATACGATGTGTTACAATAATACCTGCTCGCCCCCGGCCGCCACCCCGCTGCTGGTCCGCGCTCGCGTCGCATAAAGCGCATATCGACTGCGGTGTTCATTTGTCATCGTTCCGCCGCGACCCGCCGGCAAAATATATGAACGCGAAAAGCGCACGTACATTACACCACCGTAATCCTTTCTTTACCAGTCGTCCTCCGGTGTACACTGCCACCCTCTCGCCGCTTCTTCTACACGCTCGTCCTTCTGCCAAGGAGGTAACAGACGTGTGTACACACACTCGTTTGTGTGACGTGCACACGAACGGTCCATTATGGTAATTATTAAAACGCCCGCCGTCCCCATT